TAAGAACTTTGTCAACTGGTAATATCAAGTATTTTCTAGATTTGAAACTACCAAGTACGCGTGGCAGATTACAGGTGCACGTGCTTATGGTCATCTTGATGTTATCACAATCTGTCTTCTTTTCATCTACACGTTCATCTTCCTCTTCATCATTTTTCGATTTTCTTTTTCTATCTTCCCGATCCTCGAACGTAATCTTTTGCTTCGAGGGTGCGTCATCTTTGCAACCCGAGCGTCTACAGTTGTGAACCAGGCATGCGCTATTGTTCAGAATTGGCCCACTGATCGGCAACATAGATCGGATGTATGGCGAAGTAACGAAATCATTGTTCCTCGAGATATCGTCAAAGAACACGTTCCAATTGTTAACGAAGGATTCGTATCCTTTCGCGGTACGATTTTTCGTCTGCGTCGACGTTTTTGACGTGACACTTATCTCCCGTGGTATCTCACTCGATTGTTCGCTGAACAATTGGGTCGTCCAGAAGACTACAACGAAAGTCGCCGCGTTTGTCGGGAATGCTCGAAGAATCGTCGAATTCAGACCGCGGTATAAGCAACTGTATCCCTCAGCGCGTACAGACTTTTTTAAGCAATCCACAATTCCTGAGTAGCGATTGCCACTTTCCGCTTGTATGCGCGACTTAATGACATCAATGGGATACGTGGTCACCCAAGAAGCTGTACCAGCAAGTCCCCCAGCCAGCAATACCTGCGGCATCGAAACTCCCCCCGAAGATGTCTTGGTCAACATCTCATAGGTCGCAAAGTATACGCCGTAACTCGGTCCTTCCCTGAGGAATGTAATACCTAAACCCTTAAAGACGCCACGACAACCCTCCTGCTTATAAATATTCCTCAAGCACTGCATCGGTCCTTGAAAGTTACCTTGGGTGGTTGTGGTTGTGGACTGCAATTGCAGGCGTGTTTTTGCTAATTCTATCGGACTTGAGATGGGACTTTGAGCAAGTCCGGCAGCTGCACCGGCCAGGAAGTACGATGATAATCGATCAGCTTCAGACAAATTCCGCCGAGCACATCCATAAGTGCCGAAAACGATGGCGTTTATCACGGCCACTCCTGCGATTGGCGAGGTCAGGCCCTTGTAAAGACCACTCACCTGTATGTGTAATAAAAATGAACGAATGAATTAGCGATATTAATAGATATCTCACTTACTTAAAACTACGTCAAAAAACTAAAGATATTAGATATTCAGTTTGTTTTAATATAATTTTAATAATACATATTTTAAGTATATTACCGATTCATTGGCGAGTATGGTGCGAAAACAATCCCAAATGCCCCGATATCTTGGATTGCGGTAGTCTTGAGTTTGCATGTGGACCTTGATTGTATCCAAAGGATATCCCACTATAATGCCGGCACATCCTAAAATTTAATATATAATAAAATAAAATAAGCAAATTGTCAAAACAAATTATTAATATTTTCTCTACAATAGTATTCTTTGTCCATTGTATTCTTCATATTTTCAAATTTCTTATATTTGAGTAAACCATGAGTTTAATAATAAATATCCAAAGATCGAAGGATATAAGCGAAGGAAATATGAGCGAAGGAAAAACACATAAAAGCTGATAAGAACATTACTTAAAGTTTAATCTGCGTAAGTTTGATAAAAACAGAAAATCGTAAAATTATGTTTAATATTTAAATGTGTTATACTTGGCCTATGATAACCAAGTCATACGATAAAGTAATTGTTTTTTTTTTTTCATTATTGCTATTTAAACAACTCAAATGCATATCATGAAATGCAAATGTTAATTTTAATTTTTACTAACTCGGTTGCATCTACTTATGAGCAACGACGACGATGAAAATAATATCTTGAAAATAATAAAAAATTTTACAGCTAACAAAAATTATCATCAAAACGCTTTAAAAAAAACAGTTAAAACTTTAAACAGTTAAAAAATATATGTAAACTGAGTAATTTAATTTGTACAAGATATACAACTCTACTACCTTACCTCCCAAACATCCAGCAAAGAAATCAAGAGATAAAGCCATTTTTATCCCGTATTATCGATAATTTTCCACTTGCAATATCGTCTGCTTCTGTAAGGAATGTCTTGAACTCCTGTTCCTTTCAAGTATGCATCGAAAGTTTTGCAAGTCGTAGATCGCTTAATTACAGCGGACAATAAATTCGAATCCATGAAAGATAACTGATTCCTTTATATTAAATTTCAAATAAAACAACATTACAAACTTATTTCTGGAAGAAAATTAGTCAGTAAGAAAAGTAAAACGGTATTTTACTTACGGTATTATATTATTTGTAGAAATATTATTAACAATTTTTAATATTTTTTAATTTTAAATTAATTTTAAAATTTTATAATTTATTTTTTTTTATATATTATATATTATTAAATAATATACAGTAATAAAAAATAATAAAATTTGTATTAAAATTTGTTCAACGTTATATTTTCATGTAAATTACGGTAACTTTATGTAACAAATAATTATTACGTAATAATAGAAAGTTAATGTTAATAAAAATAAAAACAATTTTATTGGCCAAATTGCAAATTATATTAATATTCCTAATTAAATAGATTATTAAAAAAATATATATTCTATTTTATTCTTTCTTAAACATTTTCTTCTAAGAAAGAATTAACAAACCTCATGTTATAAATTGAAAATCTGTCGCAATATATACGAAATTATTTATTTCGTATATATATATATATTTTAGGGCACAGAAATAAACAATATCTAAAATAATTGATATTGTCATTATTAAAATATCTAAAGTCAAGTTAATTTAATCAACAATTGATTGTTTTAAGTAACACTATTTCGCACAAATCCATACAGTTTTTCAGTGAAAAACGATAATAGAAATGTCACTTATCAATGAAATATTACGACATTGTCATATAAAGTCTGACGTAAGTCATTTCGGTCACTTACCGAAAATCACATGTATACAACAACATGCAAGCAAAAATAAATCTTTCCGCGTGCTTCCCTCGTCAAATCTTCTTTCTTACTGAAATCGGCGTTTCTTGCAGCTTCTTCTTAGTGCAAAGATCACTGTTTGTATTATCAAAAACACACTGACGTACAACATACAAACGTCATTAAAACAGTGTGCTAAATATTGTTGAAAAATATGTTAGTAACATTTATACATCTCACCGCAATCTATCCAACCGAGGCAAAGCATGGGTCAAACATTCTACGATAAGATTGATCGAGTCTTAATAATGCTCAATGATGCTTCGAATAAAATATACATTCGACTTTACGTTATTTTCACACTGGAACTATTTAAGCGATTATTGCGTCATTAATAACGCGGTAAATAATAATATAGTAATTTTTCATCAGTTATTAGAAAACTAATAAAAATCTTAACTTAATCAAAATCTAGCACTGGAAAAATAATAACACTGAGAAAGACGATCGAAAAATGACTAAAATGATGTACGTTTCGAGCGTCGTATTTATCTTATTCAAAGATATTTCACTTACAAAAGAATTTGTTATTTTATGTTTATTTTGAAGATTATTAAGATCATGAATTTTATCGTAAAATGTCAGGCACATGTTGAAAACATGTGTCTTTTTCGAAATAATAATAGGAAGTACAAATATGTAAAAGACACATATTTCTCTTCTATCTAAGAGACAAGAATATCAAATTGATACCGGACAGTTGCGACACTTTCCTTAAGTTAATCAAGTTTAACTTTTTTCTTTTACAAATCTGTGGAATATATATCAAATAAAAATACAAGATATAATCTGTAGAAAAGTTTATTTATGCAAAAAGATTTATATAGGCCAACATTTATTCTTTTTATTCTTTATGATAATAAAATAATTATTTAAAAAATAAATGTCTAAAACAATGCATTTTGTATATTATGAATGAGTTAATTGGTACATTAAATTATTATTAATTTTATAAAATTATATAGATTTTTTTACCTACATTATATCTGCTGATTATATTAAAATATTATTAATAAATTTTGCAATAAGAGTGCAGTTAATTTTCATAAGAAAATATAGTCACTCGCAAAACTGTAGCGATATAAATTACAAATTATCATAAATAAAGATTAAAAAAAAATTGCAAATAACATTTCACGTTGTATTATGTTTTCCATCATATTTTGCTCCATCTAATTTTGCTGTTATAATGTATAATAATACAATATAAGACTACATTCCATCTCTTTTTCTGTGTAATCTCAAAACAAATTATCATGGTATATCTTCATTCGATTATTCAACATGCGCCGAATAATTTGAAATATAATAACTAAAATTGTGATAAAAAATATAAATGGATACTGGAATATATTTACCTTCTTACAAATATATTGTATCGTAAAGTAATTTTGAAATATTAAAATTAATATTTTTTTTTATTAATAATGCAATAATATAATTTCCGTACAAATAGAAACAACTTAATAATGGATAGTTTGATTATTATTAAAACAAAAATTTCAAAATTATTTATTTGCACAGTATCTAATCGACTGATTCTACATTACGCTGTTATATTAATGATATCAGTTGTTAAAAAGTTTTCTTACCGATGATATTCAAAACAGCGATGTTTAAATATCATGTTTACATATTGTGAAGTCTCTAGAGAGATAGCAGCGTACGCTACCCCTAATTCATAAATATATATAACTTAGAGCACTTATTTCATATTTTCAAGTTTTTATCTAAAAACTATTATTTGTAACCTTATCGAAAAACAAGAAAAAAAGGTGTTTCTTTCAAAATAAAATATTGCATTATGCGTGCGCGCGAATTTTGGAACATTCTGCACAGTGCAAAATATCACAAGTGCAAAATGTGTGTAGAGATAAGTAAAATTGTTATATATTAGAAGATATTATTTATTAAAAGATAGTTATTTTATATTTAGTTATTTATGTAAACAATTTCGTAATGAATTCCAAAAAATGTGACGTTATCGCCCGTGATACCTTTTTGACCTCTCTTATAACATTATATTTTATAACTGTTGCACTCTCGCTGCAAGTATCGGTTCTTGCTCTTATTGTTTTGCAATGTTTTATCAAGCAACCTGTTAAAACTGATAGCTGCGCCATTTCAAGCACCAGTTCTTCCGCGTCGCTGGACGAATAAAGGACGGATTCTAACTTGTTACAACTTGTTAATTAATTGTGCGTGTTTTCAAATTTTTTTTAACGCAACAATGTATAAACAAATACGACAACAAACATCAAACGCCGAAAATGATTGTTCACTCCTTAGCAGTTCACCTCCAGATAAGGTAAAGCGTATCATTATCTCCTAATTATTTCTAAAAGTCATGCAAGGTGCTTGAGAAAGAAACAAAGTATTTCTTTTTATTGAAAAATGATTATTATTTTTTATTACAATCGAAATGAATATTTTGTTTCTCTAAAATCAAAAGGAGTAAGAATAAATACATAGAACGATTTATAAATAGGAACAATCGATAATTAAATTTATGAATGACAATATAAAATAATAACAATAATCATTTATTTTTGAATTTAAATATATTCTTTGTTTATATATACTCGTTTATTATTTACTTGTTTATTATTTATATTTATTATTTTATTATTTATATGTTTATTTTGTACCTGAAAAGTGACGTTTTTCTTATTATTTATTTGACTATGATAACTATCACTGCGGTCAAATTGATGAAAATACCCATCACGAACAGAAAGATTTAAAATCAAATCCGTGCTAAAATATTTTTCATAATAAAGTATTTTTGTGGACATTTTTTAAGGAGTCTACTATAATAGCCAAAAAACTGAAGGTTTTTTAGGATTGTATTTTTCAGTGAATATATTATATATCGAAATAAATCATTTTTTTGTATTTTTAAGGTATATACATTTAAATAGTTTAAAAAATTTTTTAATTTTTTAATTTCTTAATTATTTAATTTTTTAATCAATTGTTTTTCAGTATCTTTTCATAATGTAAATATAGCGTGTTAAAAATAAGTGTGTCTATGGCGGGATTGATTTCTAGACTTGAAATCTAAAACAAAATCACATCTAAAACAAAAAATTTAATATAATTATTAATTTATATGAGTGTCGCTATCGTGATCGTCCCTATCAAAATTGATAGTTTTTGTTAGAAAATAAAAAATAGAGTCATTTTAGAAAAAAAATTTGAAAAAAAAGATTAA